GTGAGGCCGCCGGGCGGTGTGTGGCGGCGGCCGCGAGACCACGCGGAGGAGGACCCGGCCGGGGACGCGACGGGGCCCGGGTCCGAGGTGACCGGCGGAGCGGGGACGGGCGGCGCGGGTCGCGGAGGGTGGCCGGGCCCGGGGCCCCGGCCCGAGACTCGGAGAATCCGGAGGAGCCTGACAGCAGCTCCCGGGACGCCCGAGAAGGGAGCCGCGGCCGTGGGGCAGTGGCCAGGGGCCGGCTCTGGCTCCTCCGCTCGGAGCTGGAGACCCCTTCGGCCCAAACCGGGAGAGCGGGCCCTTCGCGGCTCCGCAGGCTGTCCGCCGAGGGCGGCAGTCGGCGCAGCGCTCGGTGCCGGCCTTGCGGGGTGGCCGGTCCTGAGCTCGTCTGGCTGCTTTCCCCCGCAGCGCTGGTCCCCACCCAGGGACCCGCCCCTGCCCGCCGCGAGAAAGCAGCCCCCTCCTTGCAGGATGGACGAGGAGAGCCTGCAGACCGCCCTCCGCACCTACGACGCGCAGCTGCAGCAGGTGGAGCTGGCCCTGGGCGCCGGCCTGGATCCCTCCGAGCTGGCGGACCTGCGCCAGCTGCAGGGGGACCTGAAGGAGCTGATCCAGCTCACCGAGGCCAGCCTGGTGTCTGTCAGGAAGAGCAAGCTGCTGGCCACACTGGATGGAGAGCGCCCAGCCCGGGAAGATGCTGATTGCTTGGCTTTCCAGAAGGCCGTTGCTGAGGGAGCCGAGGTGCCAGGAGCCCCTGGGGCAGAGCTGGAGACGGTTCCTAAGGCAGAGACAGGGCCTGGACCCACCGAGCCTGAGCAGGAGGAGGAAGAGGGGGAGGACGAGGAGGACGGGGCAGAGCTGAGCGGCAGGAAGGTGAACGCCCCCTACTACAGTTCATGGGGCACCCTGGAGTATCACAACGCTATGATCGTGGGCACCGAAGAGGCAGAGGACGGCTCCCCCGGCGTCCGGGTGCTCTATCTCTACCCCACGCACAAGTCCCTGAAGCCCTGCCCCTTCTTCCTGGAGGGGAAGTGCCGCTTCAAGGAGAACTGCAGGTAAAGCCTGGGGTCCTGGGCCCCTGTGGGGGGTAGGGGGCTTACAGATGAGACCAGGGCACGGCTGGCCCTCTGTGCTGTGTGTCGTCCGTCTCTGCCCAGCAGGGTACTGACAAGAAGAGAGTTTTGGGGGCCAGGGGATTCCTACAGCAGTGTCCTTGTTAAGAGGTTTACTCGGATTTTCCCAGGTAGAGCAAGTGTAGGAAGGCTTGTTGAAAAGAATGGACGCCACCCACCCCTACCATCATCAGTTGTACTGTTCAGATTGAAACATCTACAATTTACTTTTGTTATAGAAACTTTGTTATAGAAACTGCTGAACAGACAGGACGTTACAGAGTTGCGTGCTGACTTCCCACCATCCCATCTAGCTTCATTGTTTGTTAACAATTTGCACGTCTTGTGTCATCTTCCTGCCCCTGGATGGTTTTAAAGCAAGTTTTAGAAATTGCTGGGGTTTTCACCTATAAATACTTCAGGGTGCACAAGTAATCTAACTGATCAACATAGTCATTGTCACACATAGCAAATTTAACGATAACACCTTGTTTATATTCAGGTTTTCACAGTGGTTGTGATGATGTTTTCCTTGAGCACATAACTTTAATTTTGTTTCTTTTTACTTTAACTTTGCAAAGAATATCTATGAAGATTTGTAAAATTTTTCTTTTCTAGCCAGTAGTCCAGGGTAACTGTCTCAAGTTCTTTGGTTGTCTTATTTTTTTGTTTTGTTTTGTTTTGTTTCTTGACAACCAGGAAGTTTGTCTTATTTCTTTGTAGGTTCTTGCAGGGCCCAGAGTCTTACTTGGCGCATTTCTCCCTTTCTCCTTTTTTTTGTAAGTTTTGAAGAAATGCAGCGCACCTGCAGAAAAGTCCGTAGTTCATAAGCCTGCTTGAGTTCCCACAGAGTGGACGTACCCGTGTCACCAGCAAACAGATCAAGGAACAGAGGCGTAGGCCCTTCCATCTTTTCTGCCACTGGTCCCTCTGGAGGGTCCCCCCGCGTCCCTGCGCAGGGTCCCATATGAGGGTGAGCGCTGCCGTGTCTATGTGCTGCTTCCTCTGGGCAGGCGCTGTTCCGAGAGTTTCCTACACACTAACTCAGGTGAGCAGCAGCCCTGCCAGGCAGGTCCTGCACCCCTCGGTTGCCCAGGTCACAGGGGCAGCCAGGCTCTGCAGCGCTCCCAGCCACTACGCTCAGGGGCTGCTTGCTCTGTCCACCTCAGGCTGGACCAGTGCCGCCTGCAGACCTCCACATCACCACACCCCAGTCTCATAATTGTTTTCTTCATTTGCTTTGGGTTTTTAGAAGTGAAATAACACAGATAATGTTGAAGCACACTGTGACCCACCACTCTGTCCCCTCCCCTGCTGGGAGGCTCGGCATCACAGCGTTGGTGCCTCTCTCTCTAGTGCACGTTAGTTCTGTGTGAACATGTGTGTCTGTAAATAGAACACGTTTGTGCTTTATTTTCTAAATAAACAGTATCACCCTAGGCTTCATTTTGCAACTTGTGTTTCTCACTAAGCATGTTGGTGGGAGAAGGCCCTGTTGGTATCTATAGAACTTTTAACTACTGTGTAATTTTTCTTCACGTGAGTACACCACACTTTATATATCCTGTCTCCTGACGTTGTCCAGTTTTTATTGCAGACAATGTGCTGTGAACATTGTACTACGTGTCTTTTTTCATACACAGTGGGGTGAGAGTTTCCCTGAGGTGTGAGGCATGGAGGGCACGTGCCTCTCTGTTCCTGCCTGGCAGGCAGTGTCCAGGCCCTGGTCTTCGCCAGGGCCACCCGCGCTTGCCTTCTGTGACTCACAGCTTCCTGCCCATTGAAAGCTGGGGAAGTGTTCTTGATTCAACTTGTATTTTGTCGGTCATTGCTGAGATTGGGAATTCTCTCATGCACTGGCTCTAACTTAATCTCCATGTATCAGTATTCATATAAAACAGATATAAAACAGAGATGACCATCATCTTTCGCAGCTGTTAGGAGAATGGAATGCATTAATATGCATTAATTAAAAAATTTTGAACAGTACCTAATATGTAGTAAGGACACAAGAGACTTAAAATTTTTATCTTGTTGTCGTAAATTAAAATCACATGCAGGAAGTACAGGTGTATCATGGGAATCATTGTAACACCCTAGTACTCACCGCTCAGATCAGAACTACAAATTTGCCAGTTACCCCGGAAGTTCTCCCTGTGTCTCAGCCTACATGCAGCTCTCCCCTCCTTGTCTCCCTCCTCCAGAAACCACCACTGTCCAGACTTTTCTGGTGGTCGCCTCCTTATGTTCTGTACGGTCTGTCACTGGGGCCACAGGCATGAACATTGTAGTCTGACTCGCTCACGTTCTAACCCTGCTGTGCCTGCATCTGGCCGTGCACACCCTCTGCCCGCCGCCCTTGGACCCCAGTCTCGCTGTTGAAGACCAGACCCTCTGACCGTCGGCCCAGCCGGCAGTGGGATCCAGGGACTCGGGGCACTGTTCTTTACTAAGGAAGCGCCTGATGTCTCCTTGTTCTTCTGTGGTGTTGGCTGCCAGTGATGCCCGACGCCTACATCCAGTGATTCGGTGCAGGTTGCCAAAAGAGATCTTTCAATTCTGTCAGTTGGGTTTAATTTACTTGCTGGAATGTGGTAGAGAGACACCTCTCCTCACCTCCGACCTGGCTACTTAGTGGTACGGCTCACATAGAGAAGGCAGGACCATGCCGAGCTCTTCTGTCTTGTTCACTTGGCCTCCCAGATAATGAATTGGTTCTCTTTAATCCTGAGAAGGTGATGAATTCGCTTTTAAAACAATGTTCAATGGCCTTACGGACTCATGGATTTAAGTATATTTGATTTTCAGTCACTGAGATTCTGATCTTTGTTGAAACTCAAATTGTCCCACCCTTGGCTCCTTTTGGCCCAGGAGTCAGGACTCCACACTCATCCCTGCTCTTCCTACTTCAAGCCCAAACGTGGCCAAGTCTCCCAGAGGCCCTTGCTTCTTCCAACAGGAGGCGGTATTTCAAGACCCATGACGGGCCCTGGGACGCACTCTTGCTGGGCAGCCCCCATTCTGGGTCTTTGCAGCAGATAGAGCCAGGAGATGGAGGTGGACACACGGATTTACACTGACTGTATCTGTACACATACTAGGTACTTGTTATTAAGGACGGAATACCTTGTGAATTCATCATCTTTTCTGAGCCACACCTGTGTTTCCTTCTCTACCTCAAGGACACAAGAGGATGGGCTCCAAACGTCCCACAATTAGTTTTACCCCATTTTACATACATGATGCTCTCAGAATCACAACACTCATTTTTTATCTGTGATGACTGAAAACTGTTGAAAACGTTTTTACACACGCTACCCGCATGCTTCCTGCTGTCTGCACTAGACCCGCACCATCTCCCTTTTACTCTCAGCCTTCGTCCCAGAAGAAACCTTGCTCTGTGTGCTCAACCTCGCTCCATCTGTCAGGGTCTTTCTGGTCGTTGTGGGCGTCTGAGGCCACGGGAGGCCTGGCACGTTACTTACGTTCTGTTTGTCTTTGCTTGAAGAGCAGTTTCACAGAATATGAGAGTCTTGGCTCATGTTCTTTCTTTGAACATTTTATATAACTTACTCCATTCTGACATAAAGCATTGTTGAAAAGTTTAATTTTTCCCACATAAATCGGGGCTCTGATAAGGGTCTAGCTTCCAGCAGGGCTGATTGGCCAGGGCCCCGTGTTGAGACGTGACTGGTCACATGTGTGGGCTGAGTTCCGGCTCTCATCTCGTCTGTGGGGCCACACGGTCAGTTTATCCTGGGACGCACTGTTTTGACGCCTGGCTCTGTGGTGAGTCTCGAGGTCAGGATGTGCATAGTCTTCTAACGCTTTCCCTTCCTCTCAAGGTGGTTTTGGGTATTAGGGACCCATTGTAATTCCGTATCAGTTTTAAAGCATTTTGTTTCTGTGTAAAAGATGGCAGGAATCGCACTGGGTCTGCAGATACAATGCCAATTCTAATTCACGAGCCCAGGTTGTCCTTCCAGTCACGCTGGTCGTCTTCAGCTTCTCAGCGACGCTCTGCAGCCTCACCCTTGGGCGGGGGAGTTTGTGGGGCTCTTCCTCGCTTTGATGCCGTTGTGAACGAAGCTGTCGGTTTCACTCCTAGCGTGGTCCTTGGTGATGTGTTGCAGCAGAGCTGATTTTTGCATGTCAGTCTTGTATCCTGCAGTGTTGCCAGATTCATTTGTTAGCTCTGAGGGGACTTTCTGTGGGTCATTTTGGGTTTTCTATATACACAGCCATGTCACTGACAGATAGAGGTTATTTTGCTGCTCCCTCTCCTGTTTGGCTGCTTTTGTTTCTTTCTCATGCTTGATTGCTCTGCCCAGAACTCCCAGTACCGTGTCGCACAGAAGTGGAGAGCGGGCATCCTCGCCTGCCCCTCATCGTGGGGAAGCACCCCGTCTTTCACTGCTGAGCAGGAGGCGAGCTGTGGGCTTCCCAGACATGCTGCTTATCCAGTTGAGGAAGTTCCCTTCTCCCCCTGGTTGGCTGAGTGTTTTTATCATGAAAGGGTGTTGGGTTTTTCCAAATGTCTTTCCCTCATCAGTCAACGCGCCCCTGGGTTTTCCCTTCATTCTGTTTATGCGCTTTATTTCATTGAGTGAAGGTCACGTGTTGAACCACCCTTGCATTCCTGGGATGAACCACACTTAGCTGTGCTAAATGCCTGTTCTCAGGTTCAAGTTTTTACTTATTCTGGAGTGGATTTTTGTGAACGTTGTGAGGTAGATGACTGAGTGGTGTGTTTTGGGGTGGGGTTTTTTTGGTATGGGAAACCAGTTTAGTTTTTTTGTGATGAAATCTGCAGCCCATCCCTTCCTGCCTCATTTGTGATGCTCGCTCTGTCCTGAGTGAGGTTGGCTGTGTGCAGAGCTCTCCAGGGTGTGCCTGTCATTCCATTGGTCAGTCTTCCCCTCTCCTGGATTCACGTTCATTTTATGGGTGTGCCATTCACTGCTCCCCACAGTTGGGAATCTAGGTTATTTCCAAGTATCTCACATTTGGTTAACGTCCTTGTGGCTAAATCTGTGCGTACTTTCATTATTATTTGTTTAGAAGTATCTCGTGGAAGCCCTTCTGGGTTGAGGAAGGTACAAACTGTGGGGCCCTCATCTTACTGAGGACTCATGCAGGCATTTGGCTGGTGGTGTCTCAGGGTATGTGTGTGTCAAGGGCGTATTTGGCCAATGCACCTGGCGGGTAGGCCTCTGCTCCTTGGTTGAGCAGGGCTTTTCAACTGCAGTGTCCACCCAGTCCAGGTGGGGCCCGGTCTGGCAGCTGCTGGTGCCACTCAGTCATTGGCAGTGCCCTGGCCGCCTGAGGACAGGCAGGTGTGGGAAGGAGCTGCCCAGAGTCCGGCCCCGGCAGGCCTCCGAGGCTGTCTTTGTCCGCCCCGGGACATGATGGAGGTACCTTCTGTTTTCCCTCTTGTCACTGCTAGGGCAGCCATGGCCCCGCTGGCTCTGGGCGGGGGGCCGTGCCGTCCTGGCTGCTCCTGTGGGGTCAGAGCAGTTTCCTCTCTGCAGCGGCGGCACTCAGGGGCTGTGGGTGGCTTTTCATGTCTTTATTTGGCAGAGTTAAGGCTGCAGCCCTCTGTCCCCGCCCCTCCTCCTCCCCTCCTTCCTCCTCTCTCCCAATTTGCATGTTGATTTCACCGTTTCACTGATGTCTAGACATCAGGGCCGCGCTGGTACAGCCAGGTCCTCCTGGTCAGCTGGGGAGGACCGAGTCCTGTGAGCACATGCCCCGCCTTGCTCACTCATGGTGTCCAGGCCCTGTGTCTGGCAGAGAAACAAGGGGTGCTCTCCTCACAGGGGGGGCTTCCAGCCACACTCTCCCAGGCAGTCCCGCAAAGGAGCTTGTCCTGGGGGCACCCAGTCCGTCCTGAGAGTGAGAGCTCAAGCACAGGGAGGGAATACACATATGCGTGTGTGTGTGCCTGTGGTGTGCACACATGTACGTGTGTGCGTGTGTGTGCATGCACATGTGTGTGTGTAACTGTCCTTCCCTCCAGGGCAGCGCCCAGGCAGGTAGACTTGATTCTCCTGGGCCCGCGCGGCCCTGGTGGGCCATGTCTGAGTCTGCACCCTGCGGCCCTCTCCGCAGGTTCTCCCATGGGCAGGTGGTCTCTGTGGAGGAGTTGCGCCCCTTTCAAGACCCAGACCTGAGCTCTCTGCAGGCCGGCTCTGCCTGTCTGGCCAAGCAGCAGGACGGCCTCTGGTACCCAGCACGGATCACTGGTGAGGCTGCCCAGGGCCTCCCTGACAGGGCCCTTCCTGGGAAGCCCTCTCCATGCGTCACACGCATTGGTCCTGTGTGACCACCCCTTTGGTTGGGCATTGGGACTCCACGCCTTGGCCAGGAGGAGTGAAACCACCCTTGGCCTCGGCCCCACCCTATTCCTAGCTCCCGTTGTGGCTCTTGTCATGTGTTGAGGCCACTGACCCAGCTGTCTTGGTGCCCCTACAGATGTGGATAGCGGCTACTACACAGTCAAGTTTGACTCTCTGCTGTTGAAGGAGACCGTGGTGGAGGGGGACAGCATCCTGCCCCCACTGCGCACGGAGCCCACAGGGTCCTCTGACTCAGACAGCAGCGATGCAGACGACCCCAGCTATGCTAGAGGTATGGCTGCGGCTCGGCCTGGGAGCAGGACGGCGGGGGCGGGCAGCGTGGGCAGCAGCCACCCCAAGAGACTCCTCCTGGTCAGGAAGAGGATGCATATCAAAGGGGGCGCTGGGTGTGGAAGCCCCCCAGAGGGGCTGGAGCTGATGAACAAGTGTGGGGCAGGTCTAGGGTAGGTCCAGAGACTCACGGACACAAAAATGCAGCCCTCATCTTCAAGAAGCACGTCAGCAATTACAGTCCCACAGGAGCCACTGGAGGGGCAGGGAAGAGAGGGATGCCTGGTGCGCATGAAGGAGCAGCTCCTTCCAGTGGCTCCCTTCAGGGCCCAGGTGCCTGGTGGATGGAGGAGGAGCTGCGTTCAGACAGCTGGAAAGGGAGAATTTCAGGAGGAGGATTGGCTGGCAGTGTCTGGCCCTCCTGAGGGGAGGTCCCTGTGGGACCTGTGATGTAAGCCAACAAGTGGAGGGGAGCGGAGCCCACTTCCTGGGAAGGTGGGTCAGGAGAAGGGCCGTGCAGGATGGGGCCACCATGTGACCAGGTTGTGGCCCAGAAGCATGGAGAGGGCCAGGCTCTGCCACAAGCCCTGCCCATTGCTGTCACCACCACAGCCCTGGGTCACCGGCAGGGAGCCAGAGGCACAAGGCATCGCAGCCCTAGCCCAGAGCTGAGCTCTTGGGCTAACCCTGGCCAGAGCCCCGCATGCTTTGGACCTGTCTGGGTCAAGCCACTGCCCTTTGATTGCGTAGTGGTGGAACCCAGCGCTGCTGACCCCGGGACCTGCAGCTCCGCCTTCGCTGGCTGGGAGGTGCACACACGAGGCATTGGCTCCAGACTCCTCGCCAAGATGGGCTATGAGTTTGGCAAGGGTAAGTGTGTCCTGCACCAGGGAGATGAGGGGGCTCCCGCAGCTCAGCCCGGGTTCCAGCAGCAGTGCCAGCCCCGTGTCCCCTCAGGTCTGGGCCGACACTCGGAGGGCCGGGTGGAGCCCATCCATGCCGTGGTGCTGCCGCGAGGGAAGTCGCTGGACCAGTGTGCGGAGATCCTGCAGAGGAGGACCCGGGCCAGCAAGGCCAGCACCAGCAGGCCCCCAAAATGCCGGGGGAGAGGGGTTGGACCTGGGGGTCACCCACCCCCTCGGAGCGTGTTCGACTTCCTGAACGAGAAACTTCGGGGCAGGGCCCCCGGGGCCCTGGAGGCAGGGGCCGCGCCCGCAGGGAGGAGGAGCGGCAAAGAGGTGTACCATGCCAGCAAGAGCACCAAGCGGGCCCTGAGCCTGCGGCTCCTCCAGACCGAGGAGAAGATTGAGCAGACCCAGCGAGTCATCCGGGGTATCCAGGAGGCCCTCGCCCGCAACACCGGCCGGTACGTGCGGGCCTGGGCTCAGGGCAGGCCCTGGCGTGGGTACCCCGCCCACCATTCACGTGCAAGCTGGCCCTGAGCAAGGGTGGCCGGTCTGGGGGCGCTGTGGGTTGGAGGATGATGGGAGAGGCCTGGACGGGGGCTGGGCTGCCACGTGCAGAACCCAGGCTGAATGGCAGGCCCCTCTCTAGGCACAGCGTGACGGTGGCCCAGCTGCAGGAGAAGTTGGCAGGCGCCCAGCGGCAGCTGGGGCAGCTCCAGGCCCAGGAGGCAGGCCTGCAGCGGGAACAGAGGAAGGCAGACACCCACAAGAAGATGACCGAGTTCTAGGGCTCCCACGCGCCACACTCACAGAGCCTAGGGGCCCTGGCCCCACTGTCCTCTGCAAGACCAGCCGTCACCCAGCGACTCAGACGCCACCAGTAGAGGGGCCAGTCCAGCCCAGGCTAGACCCCACGGCTGGCCTTCCTGCCAGCCCAGGGCGCGTGGACACTGCTGAGGGGCGCTGGGGCTGGGGTTGCTTTTCAACACGAACTTGCCCCTTGAGCCCACCTGCCAGTGTCTTCAGGAGTCCGCTCAGGATGGACATTAAAGTGATGTTGCTGTAGTATCTCACTGGAAGCTTGGCTGGCTGTGGGGTCTTTCTGGAGAGGAGGGGTCTTTGCACCAGGACTCAGGTCGGGACTGGAGGGGTCCTGAATGAGGCAGAGGGCCCAGGAGGACTGGCATTCTCACTGCCCTCCCAGAAAGGGCTGTGCTAGCAGCTCTGAGGCAGATCAGAGCCTGAGGTGCCCCCCTTGTAGCCTGAACCACAGATGGGTGGAGCCGCTGCTGCCACGGTGGGAGGAGACCGGGCAGGCCCCGGGGGTGTTGGCAGCCCAAGAGCCTGGGTTCAGCCCCAGGGCTGGGCGGCCACAAGACCACCCAGTTCCCGTGCTGTGCCTGGTGTGCCCACCTCATCGTGGGTGGAGACAACCTACGGCCAGCTCTCAGGACAGTGCTGGCTCACAGCGCACCCCCACCCGGTACTGCTGAGACCCCAGGCGGGGCCGCGGCAGGTGGCTGAGGCTGCAGCGCGGGGCTGAGTGGCTGTGTGGGGAGACGCAGCCTGACGCACAGGCAGGAAGTGAGGTGGGAGCTGGGCTGAGGGCTGCACAAAGGCACCACGCCTCAAGGTGCCCAGGCTGCCTGCTGCCCCAGACAGCGGAGGAGGCGTGCGCCTCGGCCTTGGTAAGTGTCTGCTCTGGTCTCCAGCCTGGCCAGGGCCCCAGGCCGCTTAGTGCCTTCCTCGGGCAGCTGAGGACTGGGGTCTGGGAGGATTGGGCCCTACCAGGTCAGGTCACTGGGGCCTGGGTCCTCCCTGGGTCTGGGCAGACTGGCCTCCACCTCCGAAACACCCCATCCCCTGGCTCTGTGCTGCTGGACTACAAGACCATGCTGGTTGTGGGGTAGACGCCCTCTCCCCTCAAGCAGCTCCGTAAGACGCCAGGAAGCAGACGTCCAGTGGCAGAGACAGTTGGAGCGGTGAATGGAGAGGTGGGGTGGGGCAGGCAATGCCCAGAGCAGCCCTTCCTCCCCCTCTACCGGCTTTCCAGCCCCTCAGGGGCCAGCGTCTGTAGCGGACAGCTAGGGGGCGTACCTGAGACAGGAGCCATGCCTGGGCAGGATGTGGCTGCAGGTGAGTGTGGCTCATGGCTTGCAAGCCTACGGTGTGACCTCAGGGCCTCCCTGGCTCTCAGGTTTGGGCTGCAGTGACCACAGCAGGGCTTTGGCCAGGTCACAGCTGCCCTGCCCCTCCTCACTGGCCATGCTTGGCCATCACCTGCTCATCCTCACCAACTCAAGTGCCCAGGGGCCAGGCAGAGCATACCTCACACTCACCAGGAGTCCCCAGGCAGAGGTGGGAAGGTAGGCACCTGGGCTGTGTCCCCTCAGCCTCTGTAGGAAGGAGGGGTGCTGAGCCTTGGGGGTTTCCTGTGTGCTGAGTCAGCGCCCAAGGGGGAGGGAACCGCCCAGCAGCTGGAGTCGCAGGAGTGGGCCTGTCAGGGAGGTACCCAGTCCCTTAGCCCCCAGCCCTCTTGTCTTCTGCCTCCAGGCCTGTCCACGGCTTTGCAGGATGAGGCCACAGGTGCCCTTGGCCCCTCCTGCCCTCTGGGTCCTAGGGTGCCTCACCTTCCTGCTCTGGCTGTGGGTGCTGTGCTCAGCCTGCCACAGGTATGTCCACCCCTGGCCTTGGTGGGGCCTGGCTCAGCTCTGCAGCCAGAAGGGGTGGGGCTCCAGGCCGGCCTAGCACCAGCTCTGTATACATGCCTCCCTGTGGGCCTCGGACCAGGGGCCGATGCCCTTGACCCGCGTGTCTGCCTCACTGGCCTGATGACCCTCTTGCCCCCAGGAAGCGGGTGCCAAGGCAGCTGTCCAGGCTGCAGGACAGTGTGATGCCAGTGGAAGGGGTGAGTGCCAGGCTGTCCCCAGGGCCAGGGTGGGGCCAGCAGGGCACCAGCCAGTCTTCCTCACCCCCAGTCACTGATGAGACGGCCCTACCACCACTCCCTCAGCAAGTCGGACACCAGACTGCATGAGCTGCACCGCAGCCGGCCCTGCAACAGAGGTGAGCCAGTGGGAGAGCCGGGCCTGGCAGTGGGCAGGCATCCCCTGACCTTGAGTGATCTCTTCCCTGACCCCAGCCCCAGCCCCACGGCCCGCCAGCATGGATCTCCTGTGCCCGCAATGGCCAGAGGTGTCCAGAGGCACCAACAGGCCCCCAGCAGCCTTCTCACACCTGGAGCTGCCCCTGGCTGCGCCCTCCACCAGCCCCGAGGCCACCTATTCCAATGTGGGGCTGGCTGCGATCCCCCGGGCCAGCCTGGCAGTCAGCCCTGGGGTGTGGACAGGGTCATGGCTGACCAGCAGCTGTGCCAGGCCTGGGCCTGCGGCCAGACCCGTGGTGGCTGAGTATGCTTGCATCCAGAAGTTCAAGGGAACAGATCGGGGTCCCCAAGGCCTGGAGCTGGGGAAGGCTGAGCTGACCCCAGCCACTCAGGTATAGTGAAGGATGTGAGGCAGGGTGGGTTGGACTGAGCAGGTCCTTGGCAGAACGGATGGTGCTGACCCCTCCCCGGGTTGGCTTCCTCTCTCCAGGTAGACCTCCTGTACTCCAGGGTCAGCAAGCCTAAAAGGAGGGACCCAGGACCTGCCACATGCCAGCCCAACCCCAATGGAGGGGGAGCAGTTCTGGCTCTGAGAGGTGACTCGGCCTACGAGGTCCTTCCACTCAGGGGTCTGGGTGTGGACAAGAGCCTCCTGGAAAACGTGTATGAGAGCATCCAGGAGATGGGGGCTTCTGTGCACCTGGAGCCCTCTAGCTCGAGCTCCTAGCGGGAGAGGACATATGCAGGGCATGGAGCCCCCTGCTTCCTGTCTAAACACCCAAGTACCATGGTCCTTCCTCCAGAGTGGCGTGCCACCCTTCACTTCCCCCACAGTCTCCTCCCACACACAGCTGACAGCACAAATTCCAGATCGCAGGGCTGCCAGCCTGTGGGGTCCCTGGGGTCCAGGGCAGCCTCTCAATAAACCCCCAGCTCAGGCGCCGAACACAGCCTTGCCTCACCGCCTGCTCTTCTTGAAAGCCTGGGAGGCTGGGCGGGCGGGGAGTGTGGGGAGGTCGGAAAGTAGTTTAAAACCTCCCCTCTTTCCGCCTGGGGACACCGGCGGGTCGGGCTCAGAAGACCAAGTAGGGAGGGAGGCAAGCCCTGGGGGCTGGTCCCTAGGCCAGTGGGTCCTCAGGGCAGTGAGCCGGCCCGCCCGGTGGCCGCCCCAGGGTGGGACCTGGACCCGGAATGTCAGGGAGGGCTCC